TCGGCGAGATTTATCGCCGTGAGGCGGTCCGAGAGGCGGAGGGTCCATGTAAATGCGGCCACCTTGTCGGAAATCAATTTTCGTCGTTCCCTTTTATCTCGGCTGCGGCCTGCTCGTCTGCCACCTGTGGAAAAGTCCCTCCCGTTTTCCCCTGGCGCTGGAAAACCGGCCACCGGTTCTTATCGCGATCGAGCACGCCCCCGCACGACCGCCGCCCGCGTTTCCAATCGCTGACGTGGATAACGCCGCAGCCCTCGGAACTAGAATTAACGGCGCGCTGCCTTAACCTGCTCGGGAACCGTTCGTTCCACCGATCTGATTCGCCTGGTTGATGCCACGTTGGACAATCTCTGCTTATGAAACACCCGGTAGAATATTCCCCAACATTTATTAAATATTTATGCATCGTCGGGAGAGTGTGATTTTCACTGGATAAAATATATTTGCACGCTATGTTTGTTGTGCGAAATAATCGGCGCAACGGGTATGTGTATATTTGACGACAAATGTACAGGGTGTCGTGTATTCTACGTCAAAACGTAAGTTGAAAATATAGAATCAAATCGTAAAGAATATATATATTATTATATATATTATATATTATTATATTATTATTATATATTACAATATATATTATTATATATATACATATTTATAATATACATTGTAATGTAATGTAATTTTAATGTAATCGTGACGTAATGTAATTGTAATTGTAATTGTAATTGTAATATAATTGCAATGTAATGTAATGTAATGTAAATGTAATGTAATGTAATTGTAATGTAATGTAATGTAATTGTAATGTAATTGTAATGTAATTGTAATGTAATTGTAATGTAATGTAATGTAATTGTAATGTAATTGTAATGTAATTGTAATGTAATTGTAATGTAATGTAATGTAAATGATGTAAATGTAATTGTAATGTAATGTAATTGTAATGTAATTGTAATGTAATTGTAATGTAATGTAATGTAATGTAATTGTAATGTAATTGTAATGTAATGTAATGTAATCTACTGAATTTCGTTGCTTTTAAAGAATCGTTAATAGTACAACTGTTACACACAGGGTGTCCCATAATTACGTCAACACCCAGGAAAGGGGTGGTACCCGAGGAGATTCGAAGTAACTTTTTCCTCAGCGAGCAACCATTATCTCCAAAACTGTGCTACCATTAAATCCCGTCAATTTCGAAGCGGGGGTTGCTTGTCCCGCTAATTTCTCCGTAAAGGGTGGCTAACGAAATCTCGGAGGGTGAATTATTTCCGAGACGAGCAATTGAAATACCGAATAATCCGACCGCGGTGTATTTACGGCGCCCGGTGGACCGGCTGCGCGGCACCGTTTACCGTTTCGAAATTTCCCCGGGGGTGGTGCACCCCCGTTGCCGGGGGAAAATCAGTGACAATGCGCGATTAAAAATTCGATTAACCGGTCGGCCGGTCCCCGGTTCCCCGAACTGCTCCGCTTTCGCCTCATCAAAGGACGAAAGCCAAGGGGGTTGGCCCGCCGGGGGTGGTAAGTTGATTCCCGGCGGATGGCCGGCGAGGTTTTTCCCGAAAAGTGTCTGGCCCGCAGCTCCTCGGAGGGTGGCATTGTCCCGCGGGATCGTTTCGCCTCGGAATAACCGTTCAATTTCAGGAACGACGGGGTCGAAAGTGTTTTATAGGGAATTTCGCGGAACGAAGTTTCCGCGAAAACGAAGAGGACCACTTTAAAGCGCCGTTCCGGGGGCTGGCCGGGCGCATGCATGCTGCATCGCATCGTGCGCAACACCAACGGCGGCTCTGACGTGTTCCCCGGCCTTCGCGGAGCCCGGCATTCTATCCACGGTATTAAGGAAGGGCATTCGGGCGAAAATCAGCCACAAGTAATCTTCAATCTTCCGGATAAAATGTTTCACAATACGCTTTTCGTTGGAATTCTTTCGCGAGGATTCGAACCACGGGCAAATTATTTCGTCGATTAATTTTTTAATCGGCAACAATAGCGAAGCATTCGTGCGGAAATTTTTACAGCAGCTCGTGCACGTGATGTCGAAGAGAATTGTCAACAGTTCCCTCCAGCGAGTTTTTTTTCCATGAAAAAGAATTTTTTTATTACCGAAATTATTTATTTATATTTATTAATAATTTTGGCGTTGTTCCAATCAGCGTAAAAAGAGCTATCGAAACGAACAGTTTCAAAATTCTATCTGGAAAATTGCTGGCAGTTGATTTTCGCCTGAATGTCCTCCCTTGACGAGACGAAAAGGGGCGAGGGGGTGACTTTTACCCCGAGAACCAGCACAAAATTGCCTCGACCCTACCCCGGCCCCCGAAATGACCTAACATATTTACTCTTCGAATCTTTCCAATATTCTTCATCCCCTCGCAGATACACCCTCGATATCTCGTGACCTCCACCCCTCCCCCCTCCACGCAGGGTTAAGTGGGCTCGTTCGTGCGGAAAATCTAGTCCGCAAGGGATGCCTCGTTTTTCGCAGTCTATTTTTTCTTCTGGGGACGATCACGGTCACAATTGCGTGCTAAAGGCGTGAAAATGTTTTCCGAAATCATTCAATTTTGAGAAACGATTTCGAAATGGTGTCATTATTTTAATTTCTGTTATAATGATGTTATAATCAAATAACGTATACATTAAACAAAAATGAACAATTTGGAAAGAGCAAATCCTATATTCTCAAAATTATATTACATATTATAAAATTATATTAAAATTATATTATATACTGATATTCCCATATTGTCCATTTTTGTTTACGAGCTGAGGGACAATCGTAGAGTATTTACTGTACCGTCTTAATTAGCGTCATTAAATGGCAACGGAAAATCTGAGAGGCATGTTTTTGGGCTCGTTTGAAAGGGGAGACTTCGCGCTACACGATCCACATGGTTTCAGCATCCGAAAATATTTGTTGAACTATCCAGGAGCCTATTAATTTTAAAAATGGCCAAAATCAACCATCTTCACGTTTTTACCCACTAACAACGCAATAATTTTTGTTTCAAAAACCGCAATCAGCGATGTCAAAGAGCACACTTTCCCCTTTAAAATGAGCCAAGCTAGAACGCCACACGATCTTTTTTCGCAAAGTTACAGTTCTTTTAGTATCAAAGGATTTTCACTCAGAATTTTGCTGCCTCATAAGGCAAGTCATTAAATGGTTAACGTCGCACTTTTGATCTAAAGTGCCACAAAATGGCAACAAAAAATCATACGGCGATATATTTCAGCTCGTTGAAAAGAGGAGGCTTCAAGCTTCAGCACAACGTAAGTCTCATTCACAGAAAAAATTCCTCCTTCTCTCCACAGACCTGTGAAGTTGAAAATGGTCAAAACCAGAACATTGTTACTAAAATCGCGGCTGTCAGCGACGCAATCATTCTACGACAACCAAACTCAGGCCATCGGAAAGCGCTTTTCTCGCTCTTTGAAATGATCTAAGGTACACCGTCTTTCGATTTTGATCGGAGTCATTGTCATCCGAGGAAGTGAAAATGTTCTCAGAAATAATTGAACTTCGGCGAATAATTTTGGCGCACGATTCGGAGGATGCCCGTCGTTAGGAATATCGCGGTGCCCAGATGCAGTAACAGGAGCGGAATACTCCGCGTCTTACTTTTGACTTCCATTACCACTGTCTCGGGAACTACAACTCGGTCTGACTGCGCGCTGTACATTACTACTGCGCCGTGCGTCTTATAGTACTCATCCGGCGGCGGATGTGTCTCAGGGCAACGTGAGCGGAATATCGACTGTCTCGGCTGGTTTCGGAGAGAGGAGTGACAAACTGTAGCACTTTGGGCGGCCGTGCGAGCAAATTCACCGGTGACACGCGAGGCGCGGCGTTCCTACAATTGCTCGACTGCCAGCCGCGAATGAAAAATCATTTACAGAAATCGTACGCTCTTTCCCGAAAATTTCGGCGGCGCGATAAAGTTCAAGGCGTCCGCGGCGCGGGTCAATAGACCTGGCCGAGCCGATGCTCGAGTAGCGCAAGTCAACGGATAACGCGACCCACATAGATAAGAAGAGCGATCAAGGTTTTGGATAGGATCTAGGATCGCTTGGAAAACGATCGCGATCGAGACGTGTTTTCGAGGATGTTACAGTTGCGATTCAAAGTGCAATAAAATTGCAACGAACCGTCGTACGTCGATAGTTTTGTGCTCATTTGAAAGAAGAGACTTTAAGCTTCAAGATACGCCTGGTTTTTCTCATCAAAAAGTTTTTTGAACTTTTCAGATACCCGTGAATTCGAAAACAGTGGCCAGAAAAGACTATTCTCACGATTTCGACGACTATTAATATACAAAATTTTTTCCGAATGGGAGCTACAACTGTTGCAAAAGTGTCGACTTTGCGCTTTACAATGAACTAAGGTGCATTGCTCTGCGATTTTTTATCACGAAGTTACAGTGTTTTGAATTTCGATGAATTTTTCGCCTAGGATTTTGGGACCCCACAAATGGATAATTTTACACTTTTCATTCGCAGAGCTGTAAAATGGTAACAAGAACTCAGACAGCGACGTTTTTGTGCTCGTTTGAAAGGGAAAACTTTGTTCTCGAAGATAGATGTAATTTCATTCGCGAAGAAAAATTTTTGGCTTCCGCGGGAACGTTTGAATTCGAAAAATTTCTGAGCAACGACTATTTTGCTTCTCGCACTGCAACATTTAGAAAAAAAATTCCAGTGCAATGCAACTTCCGACGTTCAAAAGCAGAGACTTTTTCCTTCAAAATGAGCCAAGGTATATTATCGTGCGACTTTCCGTTACGAAGTCACGGTACTTTGAATATCGCAGAATTTTCGCTACGATTCTGTGTCCCCACGAATCACCGTTACGCTTTTGATTCAAACTGTCACAAAGTAGCAACAAAAAATCGTAGGACGATTATTTTGCACTCGTTGGAAAGAGGAGATTTCACGCTTCATGATGCATATGATTTCCGTTTCGAAAGAAATTTGTATACGGCTCTGCTACTCACTTGGAAAGTGATCGCGTCGCGCTCGATCTGCGACATGTTCTTGAAGATGGTGTTGATGATGCCGAGGAACTTGTCGCGCTCCAGGTAGCTCGGCTGGTCCTTCTCGAAGAAGTCGATGAAGTCGTACAGGATGAAGTAGGTCCCTGGAAGGAAACAGAAACGTGAGGACGGCAACGACAGGATCGACGGGGGAAACGGAATCGAAGCAGCTCCGGCATCTTGCGCGAGACGCGTAATAGAAATTAGCAAGTAGTAATGGCAGCGAATAAATCATCCTTATCACTGCGTGCGGGCCGATTCTCTCTAGCTCGCAAGGTTCACGCGTGTGGCACACCGGAGCCCTGTGCACTGCGATATGCAAAAAGCCCGCCTCCGGTAAAACCAACTTTCAGGTCGAGCGAAGGGTTGCCCCACACCTGTCGCCCCTCCGGCGCACACCCTCCGCCGTACAAAGGATTTCCTGTCGAACCGATACCAGCAACCTGTCGGGCTATTTACATTGTAAATATTTTGCCGAAAATCCCTGTACCCTCGCCTACTCCACACGGCGGCCCCGTCGTCCCCGATGAAATATGAATTTCCCCGGCAGAAATTGGCTGCCTTTGAATCGACGGCCGCACCGACGTGCCAGCGTTTAGACGGCAAGAAATATTGCTTCCTTTCTTGTTATCACGTTAGAACCGCATTCATAGCTTGTCCGACTGCCACCGGCGACACAGGGATTCATGGGTAACGTAGGGTCTGCACAAGTTTGGAGATTCAGTGGTACAAGTACGTGACTTCGGCGGCAGCTGAGTAGATCCGGTAGCGGCACGGATTTTGTTTAAACAACTGTAGATTCGATTTAAAAAATCGTATCACGGTCGTTTTGTACTCGATCGAAAGGAGAAACTTCAAGCTTTATAATCACTGTGGTTTCGGAGGTTAAGAAAATTTTCTCAACCCTTCACTGGACCGTTGAATTGAAAAATGGTGAAAAAATGTGCATTCCCACGTTTTCGCCCACCAGCAAAATAAAAAATTTTTTCTTCGAAAACGGAATCGAAAGTTTGAAAGCGTAGACTTTGCCCTTTAAAACGAGCTAACATAGATCTACGTACGATTTTTTTTCACAAAGTTACACCACTTTGAATATCGAAGGAGTTTCGCCTAAGACAATTTTGACCGAGATTCTAATTTTTTTGAGTCGGGCTTCTGAATCAAAGTGTCATAAAATCGTAGCAAATAATCATAGAATGATCATTTTGGGCTTTTTGGAAAGAGGAAACTTTACACTTCAAGACTGTATTATCCCCAGTGCTAACAAAAATTGTTAGTCTTCTGCGGTGGGCTCTGAAGTTGAAAAATTGTCAAAAATTAGGTACTGTTTCAAAAGCCGCGGCTGTCAGCGCAAAAATTATCGTACGTCACAAAATCCTACGTTTCTGGAAAGTACTTTCCTTCCCCTTTTAGACGAGTCCAGTCTCTCCCGTCTACGATTTTTTTTACCGAAGTTACGCAGCCCCGAAGTCACCCGTCAGTGATCTCAGTAATGCGAGTCAACGTTTCGGCCGGCCAAAGCTTCGAATCCAGTGGCGCGAGTCGACGGTTTCCGCGACGGTTTCGCCTGTAAAGTCTCCAGAACATAGGTAGCCGGTAAGTCGGCCGGGTGATAGTTGACTCGGAGTTTTCGCCAGCTGACGCGCTTTCGGATGCAGTGACCCCGAGTGCGGGGGCGTTCGCGAAAGAACTCAATTACCGGCGGTTCCCGGAGGATATTCGAGATTCCTCGAGGCTGCGTGTTAGGTCTGCGATGTGTCTCGTGGCGCGGAGTAACAGAGTAGAAACGACGGAAATGGGAGAGGACAGAGGGCTCGAAACGAGCGGAGGGGGGGGGGGTGCAACGAGGAAGAGTGACGAGGGTGGAAACAAAGTGGAGAGTCGTGGCTGAGCAAAGTCCAGGAGAAAGTGTAGAAAGAGACGGGTCGCAGGAAACCGGAGACCGTGGATGGGTTGGCAGGGAGGTCGAGAGGGTTGCCGGATAGCTCAACAAACAGTCGGACGAAACGACCTGACAGGGATCAAATATCGATTTTCGTCGAATTCGGAACAGAATAAAAATTGGTTTCACCAATTCTGTGGCGGTAAGGAAGAACACCGCAGGTCGCAATTTCAAAAACTTGAAGTCAGTGGATTAGATGAAATGTAACATAGAAGATTTATGTATTTATCAGAAAATCATCGTGAAAACAAATTCTGTAGTATCGAAGAAAATTCAAATATCGAGAAAGTGAAAACACGCGACTTTCAGCTTACCGCTAGACATAAATTCGTCGATATTCAAAATTCTATGACATCATGAAAAGAAGGCGTATGCTAATCATCTGTAGCTCATTTTGAAGCTTAATGTATCCCCTTTTTATTGCCTGAAATTATGTTTTATTAGAATTTTTTTATTCTGAGTTACAGGGCAAGAAGTGAAACTAGTCGATTTTTACTCATTTTTCCGATTCAAATGTTTCCGCACAAGTCAAAGAATTTTCTCGGCTGTCGAATCTAACGGATTCTCGAAGCGTAAAGTCTCCCCTTTCCAATCAGCCCAAAAGCATCGTTCTACGATTTTTTTTTACCGATCTACAATTTTTTGAATGAAAAGTGTGCCACGCCAGCTCTCGATATGGAGACCAGAGGGGTTCAGTTTTTTTAAAATACCGCTCTTCAAAATTCTGCAACTTCGTTAAAAAAAATCGCTAAGCAATGAACCTGATCTCGTTTTAAAGGGCGTGAAAAGCCCTTTCCAGTCGTCTAAGATTTTTTGCGATAGCATAGCTGTAGCGTTAACAATCGCGATTTTAATAACGATATCCCCAATTCTGGCATTTTTGTCTAAACAGCTCTCGCGAATTGAGAACAAAAAATGATATTAAATGACATACGAGGCAACAAGAATGTGTGCTATAGAAATGAAATTTCGCACAACTCAAATAGCACCGTAGATTCTGCGTTTCCGTCATTTTGAGGTGATCGTTGATATCGTGAAGATATTTAAGCGATTAATAAAAACGACAAAGATTGTGCCACATCGTGACCGAAATGTTCAACGAACTACCAACATAAATCTTTTTATCCAATTTTTGAGGCTCTTCGGAACCATCTTATGGGAGTTCTCGCCACTTTTGCGTGCCTGTCGCCGGCCCACGGCGGACCGATGCGACGCGACGCGACGCGAAGGGCGTCTCATTAATGCGAGTTGCGACCACTCGGCCGAGCCACAAGTGTTTGAGTTGGCCTCGGCTTTACGAGCAGCCACGGTAATGTCGTGTCCCTGTCCGTGGTCTGCCTTGGCCACTTCTCTTTCGTAAGCCTTCCTTTATCTCCCCGGTCGATCGACCGTCGCCCTTAAAGCAGCCCTGCCACCCCCGGGGACGGAATCGACGTGCCCTCGTTCCCGTACGCGACCCGGCCCATCGAAATTTACCTTTATCGCCCGCCGATCGTTACACCCCTCCCAATCAGCCGGGGGGAGAAGTTCGGTATCTTGATATTCCGCGGGTGCCGCGGGTTCCAGGGCTTTCTTTTAATATCATCCTCGTGCCGTGGCCGCCCTAACGGAACTTCCTGTTCGGATAAAGAAGTTATGTTTGCTCGGCGAACGCGACCCTCGAACCCTCCTCGAGCTGCCACGTGGAAGAACACCGGGGGGAGGGGGGTGGTTTCGGCCCAGGGGGTGGGGCAGGGCTCCCGAGATCGTCAGGCCGGCCAACAAGTTGCCAGCGACGAATCGATAGACACCGGTGACTCGTCTAACCTGCCGGCGCCTCCTTTTTCAACCCTTTTCAACCCTTGCCAAGCTCTCCACCCTTTCGCGGAGTGCAGCGAAACGAGCCGGCGCCTATGGAATAAATGCCGTACGAAATAGTTCATTGAACATCGAGGCCGGAATGTTGCATAATCTTTTTCAATGTTATTAATCCTTAAGAAGGCGGCGCGGCTTTGAAGATGTTAATTATTGTTATACTTTTATCACGATTTTGTATTTCGGGTGAAGAAATTTTGTGAATGTAATTGTTTGAATTCACATAATTTTTATGTAATTTGTATAATTTTTATATAATTTTTGTATAGCTTATATAATTTATGTAATTTTTATTTGTTTAATTATTTGAAATTACAATTTCAATACCACGCGTTACAACACGTAGCATGGTATTTATGGAATTTATACCTTCCCTTTGACGACATTTTTAATATATTTTTTTACAAGAGAATACGATGCATTTTATACGATAATAAATATAATTCTGTACGCTAATGACGCCGGAACCGAATGTATTAATTAATGTGACCTGCTTAAATAAAAATACCAGAAAATTGGTGTTGTTACTGAAATCGCGGTCGTTGACGATTCAGCGATGCTACCGTAAAAAATCTTAGACGACTGGAAAGGACATTTCTCGCTCTTCAAAATAAGTCCAGGTTCATTGGTCTGCGATTTTTTTTAACGAAGTTGTAGAATTTTGAAGAGCGATGCTTTCGAGAACTGAATCCCCCTCGGGTTTTCATCTCGAGTGCTGGGCGGCACACTTTTCATTCAAAAAATTGTAGATCCGTAGAAAAAAATCGTAGAGTGATGTTTTTGAGCTGATTTTAAAGAGGAGACTTCATGCTTCAAGATCATGTTAATCTTAATAGTCAAAAAAATTCTTTAACTTGTGCGGAGACCGTTGAATCGGAAATACGATCCGGAAGCGACTATTTTCACTTTATTGCTTGCAGCTCCGAGTTAAAGAAATCTTACAAAATGTAACTTAAGCCAATGAAAAGTGGATACATCAACCTTCAAAATGAGCTAACGTTCATTATTTTACGACATTTTTTTGTAATGTTACGGAATTTCGAAGAACGGCCAATTTACGTTTAGCGGTAAGCTCGAAAAGCTCGCATTTTCTACATTTAACAATTCCATTCTACACTGCTAAAAAAAATGATTGCACAGAAAATTTTTGAATGAAAATCGACAAACTTCAAGACAATGTTTATGGATTTTACGTTTGACGCATCCTCGCCACTGTAACCCTTTAAATACGAGGTCACGTTTATGATATTAAAAATTGCGACGCACTGCAATTTTCGACGAAATGCACACGCTTTGAACAATTTTTTC